TCACCTATATGGCTCTTCAAACATTTTGCTTTAAGAAAAGGCCTGCCCACTTTTTAAATTTTTATTAAATACCATTTTACTCTGCAAAGTATACTTTCACTTTAAAGTATTTTATTTAGCATTTTTTCTTGGCTGAGGAGCTGCCATCACTGTAACCCTGTGAACCTAAGCCACACGGAGGAATGTAGAATGTTTCACCATCTGCAATATGCTTTTGGTATCCCTTGGAATGTTTTTTCTCTCATTCTTTTTCTGTGTGGATTCAGTGGCTCAGTTCTCTCTTGAGTCCACCCTATGACAATGGCAAAATAGTGGGTCCAAAGCTGAACTTAATCTTCCTACCTAAATTGTCAGATGGGGGCTGAAAGTTTTGATAGACTTACCTGGATAGCAAAGTTACTGGGGAATTTAATAATTTGCTTGTGTAGCTAAAAGAAAGATTAACAAAGGAGGGTTGCAGGGAAAATAGATCAAATCAGATGTTCATTAGCTACTCTTGTATTTACTATAAAATTATCTAATTTTTATAGGTTGTTTAAACTTTCATGTGAACCTCTATAGGTATGATAATATTGTGTATCTCATAAACCTAAAAAACGTAACCGTGTATAGAAAATATAACTTAAAGAATGTAAAATCTTGTAAGGATAAAAATAAATAAGGCAGAAAGCATCCTTGAGCCTTCATAAACTGTCTCATGAGATGTTTTCCAATTACTTTATGTGCTATTAATAATCACTATGGTAAGTACTAGATTGAAAAATCAATCTCCTAACTAGACCATGTTTAATAAATTCAGCTCAAATCAGAACTATATGTTAGCTAAAATTTATACAGTTACAAGCTAAACCACACACATTGGAGGTACAGGGAGTGAATCTGCCTAACATACATATGTGTTTGAGTTTAATCAGTCAGACAAGACTGAACTGATATCCTATTTTTGTAAGAAGAAGGAAGATATTTTTAATTTTATTTTTTTTTTAACTTTTTCTCCCTCGGATGCTTATATGTGCACCAGAAAATAACTATCACATCAGAGTCCGCATAAATTGTCATATCTTGGTTCTCCAGACAAAAAGGAATGGAACAAAGGCTCCCAATTATTTCCACTGCCACAGCATCATTTGGAGGTTCAACTGTGGTCTGCATCTTGAGAAAACTTACCACTTTTTGCTAGTGAGAGCTAGGTAGAAAAAAGGTAGGAAGGATTTTAATGTAGTATGGTTTCTGAAT